ACACAGGGATCAGTCAATAGAATTACAAGTAAACATGAACTTGATATGGGAAAAAAATTGAATGAGCAATGTAGATATGAATAACTGTATGAAAGAAATGTACAGGCTAGATTGTTAATGGAAAAATAATCGGGTGGTTTTTCCCCACGTGAAAAATATTGGAAAAAAGAACTCTGGTTAAGTGTTTTTCTTGTCACTTTTATTTGTGAGTAGCATTTATTCATTGATCGGTATAACAGGCAGTGTTCGCTTTATTCTATAGTATTTTTCGTGTTTCTGTGGCTTATTTTGTATCTAATCATCTGTCTTTTATCTCTTCCTGATGTCTAAACGCCGTGCGTGGGATATTACGATAGCGGTCGGGCATGCACACATATTTTACGCCTATGTCCCATTTTAAAGTTCGGATGAAATCCTGTTTTGCTGCGGCGTAAATCCCAGGGGCATTGGGGCATATATCCCCGTACTTTTGAGGTGGGGGATGGGCTTTTGAATCATCGAACCCCCCTCCCCCGTGTGATCAAAGAAATTAAATCAGATTGTGTAGAGTTTTCAGGATTTTCCAATGACTAATTTGTTTCGCAGTATCACTAAGACGGGAAAGCAATTTTTAAAAGCCATAAATATACCATTCTGATGTAAGATTCTGCACGAGGTTGATACACATTACAAATGTACATCTTTATTATGAACATCACTCCCTATATAGTGAATTTGGTGTCCCCCCCTTCAAATTTCCTTGGCCGGGCAAGTCTTCTTTCCCCACCTTCCACCATCCCCCCGATTTCCAACGCAGATTTACACCACTGCTAATTTAGCATAATTTTCCAATTTTTTCAAAGGCATCCAAAACTGCCAAAAAATTTTTTTACAAAGTGTGAGTGGAGATAATTATTTATCAGAAATTATCAACTATGAAGAAATTCTTAAGTGTTATCGCGGGATTTTCTGAGATCTTTTCAAGTGCAGCACGTTCAGGAACGCACAGTTGAATTGGTGCCCAAGTTCATGTCAATGAGATTATTCCCACAGGTTTAACAGGTTTAATAGTACCAATATTTGACTGAGAGAATTTGAATTTTTTCAGCAACGAATTTTGGAAACAATGCACGAGGAAAGTCGAAGGAAAAGTCAAAGTGCAATGATATGCTTTTAATGTTGGCCGACTTTTCCAATAGTTCCCACAGGTCTATCTTGTTCACTCTCCTGAAAGCTGGCGTCAATGCTGTTTGCAGAAAACACGATTTACTCTGTTCTCAACCTACATGGTTGGAAACGAATAATGAATCTGTCAAAACCGACTACACACTGAATGTTTTGCAACAGCGCGGTTGCAGAGGTTGTCTCCAAAATCAATCTTGTCGCGCCACAGTGTGATGAAGAAATCCAGGAAAGTTTAATAAAAGTCTGGCTTCATCAGCCTTTGACACTAAAGAGAAATCCTTTGGTTCAATCAAGAAATACTGTGTGAAGTATAGACCGTTAGTTTAGACCTTTTCACTAATAAATTCATAATAATGCACGCATGCGCACAAATGGCCTTAGCGACAAGAAGTGTGAGTGGGCCATTGAAATCGTTGTCGCTATTAGTTTCTAATCTGAGTGGGATTTTTAGTGCTCTGTACAAAACTTCATAATCGTGATTTTTCCTGAGAGAAACTGATGTCACACCCCAGTACATTTTCAATGGCCCATTCACCCTTCTTACCGCCAAGGCTATTTGTGCGCATGCGTAAATAATTATGCCCCCCATGAATTTATCAGTGAAGGTCTATAGGTCAGTGACGTTGGAACACTTATAATACAGCAATGATTGCGGTTTGATTCATTAATTTAACTGAACGCCCTTTTAATTGTTTATGAGGGGAATGCCAGCGCACTTTAATTCGAAAGGACGCATGCTACGCATTTTCGCACCTTGGGGGCGGAGGAGTTGTTCTTAAAAAACAAACCACAGCCCAACCTGGCAGGAGAAATCTATCCATAACAAGAATAAGACAAGCACATTTTCTGTATACTTTGGTTTTGGATTGCTTGTAAAGTTTGAAGGAAAAGTCATTTATGAAAAAAATGGAAAGAATATTCTGGTAATAAGAGAATTTTGACTATTGATTGTGTTTTGGGACTGTAAATTCTCGTCGAAATTATTCATTCTGCAAAAGTCAGCCGCTTTATTAATTTGTAAGGTGTATTTACATGTACATTGTACATAAGATGTAGATTTATATACAACTTATTTAACTCGGTTCAAACAATTTGGTTAATTTCATTCACGATTTTTGCCCTTGTACTGTCACCTTATAAAAGTTACGCAAACGATAAGGTGTTAGGAATATAAATCAATTTTTTTTCAAAATGATTTTCTGTGTCGAATTTCAGTTTGACTTGTGCAGTAACGGTGTTATTCTAGTGTACCTGACTTTACTTTGACTTGCAAGAGATAAGAACAAGCAATTGAAGGAGCCGTTTAAAATTTTGCCGCAATCATCCACCATGGTACAAAGAATTAAAATCCTGATTAATTTTCCAACTGAAAATGTCCAATTTATGGAAACGATAGTTGGCCGATTGTGTGCGTCAAGATTTCATTTGTTACTTGGTATATATAGACCCACTAATGTTTTCTGAATGTTTCGATACAGTCATAATTAGGCAAGTCACTGCTTAACTTTAATAAGCTTAGTCGTGAAAAGGAGATTGTAAGATTTTATTTATGCACAAAGCTTAACTTTGTATTTTATCTCAGTTACCATGTAACAGAACATATTCATTTAACATCCTTTGCAGTCGTATCAGTGCCCTTATTAAGACCCAGGTATTTCAGAGTTTTTGGTGGTCGATTTCATTTGTTTTTCTCGTGGTTCAAACACTGGAGAATAAAATGGAATGGAAGAACACTCTCACGTTTGGCGGAGCTAGCACGGCGTGTTGGTTTCACAGGGGGGAAAAGTGCGGGAAACCGATACGCTTTGCATGATGCCCTATTGATAAATTCTCCCGTCTCAGATCTTCATCATCTCCGCCGAAGAAGATGCGACCTCAACTGTCATTGTTCGCCTGACTTCCTCTTGCGAGGAATATGAGCTAAAGAAGGAAAAGGTGCGACTCTCGCGATGACAATGAGGGCAGCGGACTTGTAAGGAGTCCCAGGCGGCAAACAATGCTTGTTTAGCCCATCCCTTCTCAGTGAGATTGTTTCCCCCAACCCGTACATTCGAGAACTTTGCACTATTTCATAGTCAACACAAAGCTTTCTGATGCCTCTGATCGAACTGGGGGGTAGGGTCAAAGCTGAAAAAAATCGCGGAAATGAGCGGGTCGGTGTGCTGTTTGGTGTGCGTGCATGGGATTGTGGCTTTGAGGCAGGCCAATCAGGAAATCAATCCCCAATTTATTGCGTTTGATCGTGTGGACCAGGTTTTGCGTCCATTAAGTTTAAATATAGTACGAAAATGATGACTCATTCTGACCGTTAATCCAGCCGAGGAAGATTCGATCAGTTAGGTGCCTTGGGTGCCCAGGAGGGGATACAATGGTCAAGCTCATAGTACAAGCAGTAGAGAATGAATCCTATGCTTTCTTCTAGCAAAAGTATGATTGGGTCATATCAGTTTGGTTTACATTTGCCATGTACGCCCCAAAGCTCTTACGCGTTTTCAAGTGTACAGTGTAACACAGAATTTTCCTATTGATGGAACTGCACAAACATCTAACCGAATAAATGAAAAGCAGCTTGTCCTTTATTCTATCATATTTGCGTAAATTCTCTCTAAAACAATCATATAAAGAACAAAGCATTATATCGCTACACACGTGAGTCCCGATCCTATGATTACTGAATTAAAAGTGTGATCATGACTCATGTTGCATGGGTTCTATACAAACAGTGATTTGTGTATCAATCAGGAATGTGCACGCACAGCTTTCTTTCCAACGACATTTCAGCTAGTCTCCTCTGCTGATTTTCAGTTAAAGTGTACCAGTTTGCATGAAGGTATCGCTGGTGATGGATGCAGTGTCGTAGACTCGACACGTTCATCAACCATGCATCAAAGGAAATTTCTGGTGATTACTTTGATCGTTTCGAAATTGAAAGCTTCAAATCGTGAATAGGCTTAATCTTAAGCTTCAGCAGATCGCCAAAAGAGCTGATTCACACAGCTGTTTTATGTCAACTGTGGAACAATATCTTCTCGAACACAAACAGGCAACCTGCATGAAAATTCATCAAATAATTCCAAACACCATCACGACAATCACCGTTGATGGGCTGAACTCGCGAGCGGTGATGACGCGGCCCTCGGACGACCGAACCCGAGGCCGCAGTGCCGCGCTGATGCGGTTCGTTTGAAGTGAGCTAAATATTTACCCGGCGCTATCCGCCCTGACACTTCTCACATGGGTCGTGATTGCTTGCAACATTCCTATGTGGCGTTTATGTGTCTATCGGATTTTGACCAAATGCAATCCCATACATCAGGGCCTGCTCAGTGTGTGCCTTCGGAATGATTGCTACACGTGAACGTCATTGTCAATTTCTCACCCTTAGCCCCTACCAGAGGTGTTGATAGTGTATTCCCGTAGGGATGTACATGTAGCCTTTTTCGGGCTGATCAACGCGTGGTATAACGATCAATGTCACCCTCAGGCTGGATAACATGGACAATAATTACTCTTGTTGGGACACTCTGGGGACAAGCTCTTGGGAGGTGCCACAATTTATAAGAGGGCGTGTTGTCCTTGATAGTTTCGAGATACATGCTCCTCACTCTCTGTACGTACACATAGCTAATGAATGCTGGAGTGAAACCAGAAAGATTAGGCCTAGTCATGAGTGAGGAGCATGATACCAAAAGCTGATTCCAGAATAGAAAGTACCGGTAAGAGTTTTCGGGTTGTGACCACACGATTGAAAAGATGAATATATATGGCAGCCCACCGGGCCTCCTGCCACTCTTTTCATGTTCCTCCTACTTTCATCAAAATACATACGATTGCCGTTTACTTCAACAAAGGAGACTTTGTGAGTACAGACTTTATTTATACTTTCTCTTCAATCTTCTATCTACAGCTACATATCCTGTCTTACAAACGTGCATGCACAATAATGTAATTTTCGCCTTCGTTTTTGCAAAGATCATTAAAGTATCTGACATCCAAATTCAGTTTATTTACAGTAATTGTAAGAATTGTGAAATACGGATTCTGAAGTGCTCACGAATTAAGTTTTAATACACATATGATACATGTGAAGACAATTATTTACACAGAAGTAAGCTGGGTTGAGTTCGGTGATAAAATGACCCCGTCCCTCTAACGTTTAATGTAGAAAATCATTTTGAATGATAATTTCTTCCCAGCAACTCCTCCACTATCCAGGTCACACCCACTCATTTGTTAAAAAAACGCGTGAATTGCAGTCAAACCAACTACGCCCTCATATGCATAAAAGAAACAAACACAACAATAAAAAGACAAAACTGAAAGCAAACAATTAAGCATTTCACTACACTCCAAAAACATCAATTTCAGTGCCTGCCATCCTTCCTTTTCCGTGCTACTATCCAGTCAAATGAACACACTAGCCCCCAAACCATCTGGTGCCTAGAATGATATACAAGTCACGTAGAAGCCACTGAAATACCGATATGCCTCTTACCAACGCAGCAGTGAAGATGCGGCTTTTCCTCTGTTTGACGTGCTGACAAGGAAAACTGTCATTTGTGGCTATGGGGGAACACTCCTGACTCAATCTGCTTCTCTATTGCAAAGACCGTCTCAGGGGCCGTCTTGGGCAACATTTTTATCTGCGGCACCCAAAGGTCCTGTCAATCCCCCCATTCAATGTGTATTCTTAGTGACGGATAACAACATTACGAATTACACTATATCCGTTTCAAATTGACAAGATCTTAAAATTCACTATTGTTCCTGAATAGGCATAGATGTATGTGTTTACAAATAGAATACAGACACAGGTTTACACAAATAGCCGACGTTTTCTTTTTACATATTCACATCACTATTCACAGTCAGTATAGATGTAATTTATAGTATAGGCTAGGTACACAGTTACTATCAACAGGGATATACGACGTAATCGTTATCATATGCAATAACATCCTCTTTCGGAAAAAAGTGAATATTTACAAGCATTATTTCCAAGACAATGATGTTTGTGCTGTCTTACGGTATCTTACATGATACAATAACAATGTCACAGCAGTAAATTACTCTGAAACAAAGAGAAAGAATATCCAACAATTCAATGTTTGGCTGTTGGTACGGTACAGTAAGTAACGTTTTCATGACCACACGGTCTCCAGAATTACTTTCAACAAATTATCTCTCAAGATTTTTTCCTATTTCGTTTTTTTTGGGGGGGGGTTGCTGAAGAATGAAATTTTATACATTTAGATGTATTGGTATCAAAACACATTTCACATTTGATACAATTTCTAGAGCAATGTGAAACAAAAAAAAATAAGATAGGCCTAAAAGCAGAACCAACCATTTCCGACAAATACTTTAAATAACATCTTGAACATACCATTGCATTTTTTCTCCACGGGATTTGTTTTTTTTAAGATAAAAAGTACAATTTATATTTCCATTTTAATTTCTATTTTCAATAAATAAATGAATACTTAATTCCATTACACGTAGGCAAGTAGTTATATACATTCCAAATTTCAGAGAAAATTTGATAAAAATTCAAACGCGCTGTGATGGGGGCATATAATTTGATACGAAGAAATTGACGAATTGATTGATGAATTAGCAATTCTTTCCCAAAGCTAATTATCATATTATGACGTGTCAGATGGCGTACTTTCTGAACTAAAAAAATTTGAAGGCAGTATCATATCCAGATTTGAGTCCATAGGGGTAAAATAGAGATTTTTTTAAGCGATTGACCAACTTTTTCTCTTCCCAAAAGGTGACATTCCCGTTTCTTATTTGCATGGAAATCGGCAAAAGCACCACGTTCCTATGAGGACTCCTTGAAGCGTGTCAAGTGCATGGTAGATTTAAAGAGACTGGCAGGGGGGAGGCTAGGTATTTGCGTTCTGGCGATGGGGCAAATTTCCAAACGTAAAACTTTGACAGGTCAAACGTTGGCCGGAGAAGTTGCTCTGTTCTTTGGAACTGAAATGAGAATTTCTGGAAATGATAAGGATAATGATAAGGACGGGAACAGATATCTACTCCGATTACCCCCGTGAGAGAGAGGTTTTGAGAATTAAATATTTGGCAACTATATCAACAGCTTCAATGAGGCTTTAACAAGAGGTTTCACCCATAGAAATTTATTTAGGACTGGATGCATCGTTGTAGGCTAGAAACATTTTGTCTCCAAAAGTTCAGTCTCTTGATCTGCCAAGGTTATGCCACACAGTTCCCTGGGCAAGGGTGATTTACTGGCAAAGTGTGACGTCACCTGTGCCAAGCTCTCATTGGTCGGTAACCATCTTAAATTATCCATTCCTCTGTGAACTTTTCACACATTGAGGATTACGCTCGCTTCAACACTCAGCTCGTTACAAATCTTTCCATGCAACCTACCAGCCAGTCAGATCAGCTATACAGCCAGTCAACAAACTTTTCAGTCTCAATTCACAAAACGTCACCAACACCAATATCACACACACACTTGGCCAAACAATTTCGCATAGAGGTAAACGTCTCGTGTAGTGAGCGCAGGCGGGTTAAACCAAATATTTTCAGCTGGTGTGTGCCCAATGGGGAGGGACTTTCACTTTTCATTTAAAGAGATAAACCGAGGGACTTTATTTCTTTACTTAATTTGGGAGCTTTAGGATGAAAAGCAAATGACATCCCTTGCATTTTTATCTTTATTTCAAAAACAAAACAAAGCAAACAAAAATGTGCCAGGGTTACTGCCCCCCCATCCGCTAACGAACGGACACTGGTTATTGATCTACAGTTCGGCTTGGAAGCCTTGGCCTGAAGGCATGATTAAGTAAGTTCTCACAGTGGGAACTAACATGCACAGTCATACAATTCTGAAGGACCCCTCCGGTACACCATAAGAACTTTCATCAAAGTACTTGGCAGTAGCAAAACAGTGACCGACACTACACGCATGGTTATGAATATCTACGAAATGAGCTTAACACTCGTATAAAACTCACATTAATTACTTTTGGCCATTCTGGCTGTATGTGCATATTAAAACATCCACGACTAAACCTCCAAAACAAGGAAATGATTGAAATTTATCGATCATTTCCTTCTTTGTTAATTTGAAGGACTAAAACCCTCGAGAACAGACAAGAACTACTGCTTCATCTACCGGGAAAAGTCGCTAATGTGCCTAGTGAGTGATTTTGACCTCAGACAATGAATGAAATCCAACTGATGCAGACATGTGAAGTTCATCCCTACATCGCATCCCTATCCCCCGTCTTCCCGTCTTTGGTTTCAGTTCCGCCAACTCCCTGGCAAAAAAGGGGGAAATGGAATATAAGAGTTCACAATACAAAATTCTAATTAACAAAAAATTAATAGCTGCAAACAAATAGGAGACATCGTATAAACAAACAAAATCTTGCAAAGACCCTATAAAGCACCTTATAGGCTCAGATAAATCTAGAGGCATCCACCTGCCTCCAAAAGAGCAGAAAAAGTCGAAAAGGACAAAGCAAGACCACGTCATAGATGAAATATTGGACAGAGGAACGCGCTGAATATTATTACAACTGATTAATATTGTTCATTTTCAAAATATCCAGCCATCAGTTCACGAATAATTTATCTTAATTATATGAAAGAGGCTCAATGTTGTTTGGGAGTTTGCACCATTCTTTTGAGCGGACTCTTTGCAGGTTTAAAACAGCAGTAAATTGATTTAAAATAAGTGAGTCATAATAGAAGAAATCCTATAATCGGGGTGCAATGAAAGACTTCTGGCTTACAACGCATTTAGTACGCTCAGACTTTAAGATACGCGTTTTCAAAACAGTGAGATAAGACGAGACCCAAAGAAGATATCGAGAAGTCTTTATTTAACTTCCTGGCAGGCTGAGCCACAACTATTCAATCGTAGCTGGTTTCCCTCCCAAACCGATCGCTGCGCAGTTTTCATCGCTGCTGTTATGCATTCGATTTGCATTGCGTGCCAAAAATGCTATCGGGCTTTCAGTGCCCGTTGGCGACGGTTGAATTGTCCTCGGAGCTTCCGAGGAGAGGAGCCGTGCAGCCGAGCTCTTCATCTGTGTTGTGACTGTAGCTCTGGGGTTGATGACCAGGTGTTTGTGGCGACGTGTTCCGATTGAAGTCAGTGAATGGGTTGTTGCTCGGTGGTGGGTTCTGACTTAATTCTTCGTCTAGATTTACGTAATCGAAGGGCCCCTCCTCGTCGATTTTGGAGAAAGAGCTCGGTTTGCTGCCGGACACCTGGGCATTTTTCGGACTATAGTTATTGTTCTTAATTTCCCCTTGGCGATGGGTATCAGATGCTGTAGAAGTAGTCGATGGCGATCTGTTGATGAAGGAGTCCGTCTTGTTGCGGGCCTCGCACGGTCCTCCGTTTGCAGACCCAGAGCTGGAAAGTCTGGTCATGTAGATCCCTTCCGACTCGGACACCGTGCTGTACTGCGTGTTGTTCCAGCGCGAGTTGGGGCGGTCCCGACCACCGGCCGCACGCCGCCGCTTAGCGTTGCCCTTAGCCCCCTCGCCCCCGACCCGGCAATGTTCCGTGGCTGGCTCGCTAGAAATGATGGTCACGCTGCGACGCGGGTTGACAAACTTACGCTTGTTCTTCAAGCAGGCTTTGGTGCAGGGGCAGACGCACATGATGATGCCACGAAAGCCCTTGCGAAAGGCCCGGCTCATGAACGTGTAGATCACGGGGTTCATGCAAGAGTTTGAGAATCCGAACAGATATAACACATACTGCCAGAAGATAAAATTCTGGTGTCGGAGGAACCTGGTGAAATGGTTGACCAGTGTCACGATGAAAAACGGAGCCCAACATACGACGAAGGCAAACACAACGACCAACACCATCTTAGCAACCTGCAAGTGGAAAAGAATAAAAAGCGACTTTGTATGATTTGCACATATAGAGTGATCACATTATAATGTCTTATCAAAGTCAAAGGAGGTATTTGTAGGCAGGCTGCACCGGTTTTATCACAATACTTCGTCACCACCAAATGTGATATGTAATAATGGAGCATTCGGGCCTTTAAGCTTAGTCAAACAAGTCGATTGGGTGGAGTTTAGAAACGGTTTACGCTGTAGTGCAAGATCTGTTTAGAGAGGGTGGTGGCAGTGGGGTGGTTGTGGACACCATAGAATACTTGGTTTCATGTGTATTTGAACATCATGAAGGAATCAAAAACTGTTCATGTCACAAGAGTGTGATATTTTTCAAAGTGCACTTGAAGCAAGGGTCCGGGTTAAGATGTTCTTATACACTCTTTGTCTATCTTACTTTTCTCCGGCTTGCCTCCTCCTTCCTGAGTGACGTCTTGAGCATCTTCTCGTCTTCCGTCAGTCGGAAGAGTCTCCGGGCGATAGAGAAACAGGTGAAGCACAGGAGGCCTACGGGCCACACCAGCAGCACGGTGAACTGGAACACCGTGTACCACTGCTGGATCTCGTGGGGCAACTGCGACTGGCAGGTGGTGCGCCGTATGACACCCAGCTCGCTCGTCATGCGGTACTTCATGGTCTGGTGTGGATAGAAGTAGCCGGCCAAGACAAGGAAGGGCACGGCCCAAATGGCTGCAACATTGCGAGAAGCCCGGGACCGCGTGTTGAAGGAGTGTGACCGCAAAGGATGCAGAATGACTAGATACCTATAACGTGAGTGAGAAAAAAAAGAGGTTACGGTGAAACACAAGCGTGCTTTCAACGATTTGGTCACAGTCAGAGATCGAACTGGCAAGGGTTTGGCAAAGTGGGTGGATTTCTCACGCAACAGATCGAAGACTAAATAATTCTGTAATCATGAACTCGCTTTTGTTCCAGTGAGCATAGTTCGGGCATAGAGCGAAGGCTGCCTATGTTGAAAGGGTTGATGGGTATTGCTTAAGCGAAAGTATTGTTCTCAAGTTGTCCCTTGAATGGAGAAAAGGATCCTGAGAATCTTTAAATTGCATTCTGTAAGATTGACTAGGTCCTAGAGTGACAGTATCAGACACTTCTTGGAGTGTGTCTGAAGGCGCACTTCGATTACCTCCAAATCTTTCGTGCATAAGAAATCAAACAGTTACGCGGCCATTTTGCATTTACACCTGAGGCGAAATGCAAAACCTGGGAATCGAACCCAAAAATGTGTTTGACAACTTTAACTTCTTAACTTCCTCACTCTGAACCAGCCAGAGGCGAGTAGAATTTGTCTGGTTTCAAAGGTTACTGTACTGGTACCCTGTCTCCACTAATGTAAAAGTAAAACGGACAAACTACTACAAAGAACCTATAATTATAAGACAAGTTCTAGCCGTCATGGGACAGCATTACAGGATATTTATGTTTTCACTTTTCTCGTCAGACAGACACTGAGAAAAAGCTTCAGACATAATCAGCTATTCTTCTGGCCTAGAAGACCTGAAATTCGGGCTCAAACTGTGAGTATAGATCTCGTCATGTCTCGCGTAGGCCTATTTATCCCCGTCGTGCGAGAACGTCAGCCTATTACACTTGGATAGAATCGACAGACTCTTTGCATCATAACGTATAGCATGTGCAAAGTAGTATCGTATGTCGCTTACAAGTTGATCATAAAACCTTGGACGTTGGGCAAACTGAGTTTAATACCAACTGTCATCTATGTTTTCCTTCTGTCCAAGTATTAACCCTGTCCACTCGTAGTGTGTTTTATTCGACTTTCGAACGGACAGTGTGTCAGATGTGGCAAAACTTCCACATCCGATGCAAGACATAAAATTACCAGGATATTTTCTGTGTTCCCTTAACAATTTTCATACTTTTCTGCTTGTGCTAACTCGTATCAAGTTGACATGAAAATGCACTTGTTCGGTTTCTTTACAGAAATTAGGCCGTGTAAAACGGATATCTTGAAAAGCAAAGGTAGGCCTAGGCCTAAATCCTCGTGAGCTTTTTATACACCCACGCAGTAGCTTGTCTTGTGGTCATCAGGTAATGACTATCATATACCACCGGTACCAAGGCAAGCTACCCACACGCAGTACCTAGGACAAACTTCATACAAAAGCAGGAATGATGCGAACGTTTCCCAGTAAAAGAGAAGTGTGCGTATATCACACGGGACGGGATATAATGCTGATCGCTCACATGATTTAGTCAACATCAGGTATAGATCAGTTTCAGCGTGTACATGGCTACGGTAGTGATTACTACATGAAGCTCCTTGCTTGTAAGCTACTACAGGGGAGAAAAAGCATTAACATTATGACCGTAACGACTACCATCAGTGCATGAACGCTGGAAGCGAGCTGGAAAAAGTGCGAAGCGAAAGTTTTGTGGAGTGTCGCGCCGACAATGTAAGTTTACAACCGCTTCTCAGGCTACTGAAAGCAGTGCCAGCATGCTCTTTCGCATAACATTCTTGGCAATTGTTACTTGTATGTGATGGTGGCATTCAAATGCGTAAATTTGCGCTGAAAATTGGGGGGGGGATGACTTACCCAGCCATAAAACTTTGGAAAGTGGGGTGGCAGGATGATACCATATGGGACTCCATATACAACTCGGGGGTGGTCATTGGGATAAGCTCCCATCACTTATAAAGTGCTCCCATATGGTGTAGGACTCAAACAGCCCCTGACAACCAGCTGCTGGCCTGCTCGTGTGGCTTCTAAGCCCGGCAAACCTGCTTCTACTGACAGAAGAAAGGGCAAAGGCAGGTCACTGGCGCCTCAAAACTAGTTACTTCGGGCAGGTGGGACTAGCCAGCCTGGGAAGGCAGCCCATCTTAGGGAAAGGAAAACCCTGATTTCAAACCTCCGTTGCCCTGCGGCTATATCCAGTCACGGAAAGGGCTTCAGGAGTCAACCTCGAGGCTAAATCCGGAGCTGGAGTCCCTAAGGCAGCTCGTGGCTGTGTACAGTCACGTTTTGGCAACTCCTGCGACGCGACGTGCTGATCAGATCATGGCCCACTTGCTTAGGACAGTTCTGCACTGGAAAGTTAAATGAAAATTGCCAACGCTTGCTCGAATTATGTTGCCATTACGATCTCCGTGTTAGCAACACCTTCTTCAACACGAAGCCTCAACCCAGAGTCTCCCGGAGACACACAAGATAGAAGCACTAGCATCAGCTCGGCCTGATCCTCACCAGACGCTCCAGCCTTCCCAACATCATACCGACCACTCCATAGTGTGCAGCAGAGTGAAACGGCAAGAAACTGTACCACACAAAAATCGCAGGGAAACTGCGTATTGACATCAGCAAGACCCGTGACCAGAGAAAAGTGGAAAAATTTGAACGAGCGATTAAGGAATCCCTTCCAGGTCCGCCTGATGCAAAGGCAAGCAACAGATGGGAAGAATGTCGTTCACAATGCCGCTTTGTCCACATTTGGCAAGAAGACGCCCACTCCGAGGAGCTGGCACCCACCATTGAGGAAAAGAGGAGAGCCCTATCAGCATACAAAGCCTGTCCCAGTGAACGCAACTTGCAGGTCCTCCAAGCCGCTCGCAGCAAAGTCCAACAGACTACTGACTCCAACTCTGCATCCAGATATAAACAGCAGCTGCCAGTGACACAGGCGATATCAAGGGAATGTATGATGGTATCAAACAGCCCCTAGGTCCAATACAGAAGAAAACCGCCCCTCTAAAGTCCGTCACTGGTGAGATCATCCAGGATCGGGCGCAGTAAATAGACCACTGACTGCAGCACTATTCTGAGTTGTACTCCAGAGAAAATGTTGTAATCGAAGAAGCACTGAATGTCATCAAGTGCCTGCCTGTGCAGGAGGAACTTGACAGTGAACCAACTCTTGAAGAAGTCAATAAGGACCTGGACTCCCTTGCTTCTGGCAAAGCACCTGGGAAAGACAATATCCCTGCCAAAGTCCTAAAGTGCTGCAAAGGGATTGTCATCACTGAGCGTAGCTTCATGAAATCCTCTGTCTCTGCTGGAGAGAGGGCGAAGTACCGCAAGACATGAGAGATGAAAACATTGTCACACTATATAAGAATAAAGGTCACAGAAGTGACTGTAACAATTACCGTGCCATCTCCCTCCTGAGTATCGTTAGGAAGCTGTTTGCCTGAGTTGCACTGATGAGGCTTCATGTCCTTGCACAGGAAGTCTATCCAGAATCTCAGTGCGGATTCCGAGCCATGAGATACATCATCGATACGGCATTTTCCCTCCAACAGCTGCAGGAGAAATGCAGGGAACAACAACAGCCACTCTTCATAGCCTTCATAGACCTCACGAAGGCTTTCAACCTGGTCAGCAGGGACGTCCTTTTCAAGATTCTCCCCAAGATCGGATGTCCATCTAGGCTCCTGAGTGTCATTAGATCTTTCATGAGGATAACGAAGACTTAACATCAGACCCTTTCGACATTCGAAGTGGAGTGAAGCAGGGCTGCGTCCTTGCGCTGACCTAGTTTGGGATCTTCTTGGCTGTCCTGTTGAAGCATGCGTTTGGATCTGCAACAGAAGCCATATATCTCCGGACCAGGTCATATGGAAAGCTCTTCAACCTCTCCAGGCTCAGAGCAAAGTCCAAAGTCCAGCTGAGATGCCTTCGTGACTTCCTCTTTGCCGACGATGCAGCTGTCATTGCCCACTCATCCAAAGATCTTCAGCAGCTCATGAATCGCTCAGTGTGGCTTGCTGAGACTTTTGACTGACCACCAGCCTTAAGAAAACACAAGTCATGAGCCAGGACGTAGTTTCGTTCCCCAATCTCCGAACACAAACTGCAGGTTGTTCATGACTTTGTATATCTTGGCTCGACGATCTCCGACACTCTCTCTCTCTGGACTCCGAGCTAGGCAAGCGCATCGGCAAGGCAGCTACCACCCTCTCCAGACTGACAAAGAGGGTATGGTCCAGTAAGAAGTTGATGGAACATGCCAAGATCCAGGTCTACAGAGCTTGTGTCGTGAGCACACTTCAGTATGGGAGGAGAGGAAGGTGAACGCTTCCCATATGTGCTGCCTCCGACGTATTCTCAACATCACCTGGCAGGATAAAGCCCCAAACAACACAGTCCTGGAGAGATCTGGAATCCCCAGCATGTAATCACTGCTGAAACAGAGGCGCCTGCGCTGGCTTGGCCGTTTTTTGAGGATGGATGGCTGTGCAGCCGCTGTACAGCAAGGCCTAGTTTGGAGGCTAAGAGGCAAAGGAAGAAGGCCCAAAGCCAGAGAGACAGACCAGCAACAGACCACATCTGCCATAATTATGAAAGGGACTGTCATCCCCGAATTGGCCTTTCCAGCCACACCAGACGCTGTTCCACCATTCCGAGCGCAACACCAAGGTCTTTCGCAACTGAAAGACGCCTACTATACAAGTTCCATCCCTGGGAATTACGCCTATGGAAGTATTCCTTTAGTTTTCTTACAAGTGGAAGAGGAGAAAGGTCGTAGACAAAAATTACGATGCCTCAATCAAGTCCAGGATAAAAAAGGGAGGACCGACCTATATAAGCCTATTAATTATCAAGCTATCTACGACTTCTCGGTTGAGGAAGGAGGAAGTAATTTTGAGTGAAACTTCAGAGGATTGTTTCAAATTAATGTGTCTATGTCCCACGAGGTATGCGGTTATTGAATTATTCGAATGTGACATGACTTCGACAGCGTGAGTAAGCTACATCAAATCTGCTGCTAAAATGATAGAACAAATGACTTATTAACTTTGACAAAATGTAGTCATTCGTCATGGCGCAATAAAAACACAATTTTAAACATACTAGTCTGGCTTCAAGGGTGTCTTGTGTTCGCTCAGCATTATGTGAATGATTGATATCAAAATAACCCAATCCGACAACCCACAACCATTAATAAAGGAGGTGTTCAAAGCAAAATGCCAAGGTGAAAAGCCTGCTGGTAATGCATTATAACAGGCACCTGAATTACCGTAACCGCTTAACCATTACTGCATGGTCTCGCTGGCACAAGAAGAGGAAAGTCCGAGTGATTGGTCGAGCTGACTCGCGTGGTGTATTAGGTTATGGGGTTATGGTCTGAATCCTACTGGGTACCGTACTTTTTTCTTTTTTATTCAATTTACTGCCCAAATTTATAGCCTTAAAGTTTGAATTAATTGAGGGGAAAACGCTCACTTGACACCCATATCACATAATACAAAAATATTTCTTAGTTGTCTTCCACGTTCCAAACGTATAGGCATGTTGTTGTAAAAGTATCGTTTATTCACGGCGGTGCGTAGTCGGATCGGATGCAAAGGTGGCAATGAAAGCCTAAATGAAATTATGACAAAGAGAACATAATTCTTGAGATCGAGTCCATCTCAAGTCTATCACTATTTAAATCAAAAATCAATCACAAAATTTAACTTGAACCGATGACTGGTTTGCTGTAAGCCAGTTCGGTATTTCAAAAAGCCGTAGGTCTTTCGGGAACAAAGCGTGCGCTGAGCCAGCGTTTAACTGCACTATAAGGACAGACTATCACGCTCGCGAGTACCTGTTCCCGAATAGGCTCGTACGAGTATGCGCTACTTGAATACCGAAACGGCTAACTGGCTTTCAGTGGACGTTTGAAGACTTCAATGCATCAGTGACAGAGAGGAATCGAAAATTTCAACAAGTTCGATGATACAGATTTTATAGAACAACAGTTTATTGCTTTTCGAGTCTTGGGGTGTGAACTTGTCAGACTGATGGTACATTACGCAGCCTAATCCATGAATGCCCAAATAACCGTTTCCGGTTTGCCAAGTTTGAATATGAATGGCTATTTTCTTTCAAAATTAATGTGGTCTTTTTAAATCAAGAAATTGCCTTAAACGTCATGGAACATCAACTCCTGTTTAAGAGTTGGAGTGGGCTTAAATTGCAGCACTGGGTTTAACCACACCAGCAAATACAACATTTCTCGTTTCTTTCTTTCTGATCTTACACAGATGTTTTTGTAGGCAGCATTTCTGGTATTGCGATATTAAATCAGGTCTCGCGGATGAAGTCGCATCCCACTTCCTCCACTTGCCGCGACCTTATTAATTTCTTGATTGAATACTCACATTCTTAACCTTGACTTTCCGAATAGTTCTGCGCATCGGGCAGCGTTGGGTAGTTTATAAACACGGCAGGAATTGCATAGTTCACGGTCTATATACTCCCAAAAATGCGCACTGGTCAAGTGATGACATGACATGGCACGTATCCTTCGAGTGGTGCTTGTCTAACGATTTATTGACTGCGTTCCGTGCGCAATGAAAAGGCGTGGAGTCGTCGTGTCATGCAGCTGTTGACAAATCATCATATTCAGTAACAGGTCGCATTTGGAAAAGTGTTCTGTGCCCTTATTGCGTTAAATGGTACGTTTCTTTAATGTACTCGCCTTTCGTTGCGTGCTTAATCAATTTGTGACCCCCTTGAACTTGAGGATAGTATTGAATACGTTGATTTTTTTAATCAATCAGGAAATCTGTGTAAACTCAGCGACGTTGTGTAGCCGTAAATTGTCGATAATGTCAATCTCAGCTGTATCAAAAAGCAGTGGCGTAACGGGGGTGACATCTCTAGGCGGTGCCCGGTACCCAGGGGTGCATACATTTGTTTCCCAGGGGGACAACGAAAACCGACAAACTGCGGCTTATACATGGGTTGCATTTTAAGACTTTAAATGGAAGGGGGGCCGGCGGAAAGAGACCTCCACTGGGGACACACGCTCCCCCATCCACGTAATTACGCCACTGTCAACACGACTGCCATACAAAAAGATAGGCCTAGCCTATTTGAAAATGTAATCTAGGTTGCTTCCCGTTGAGATCTTCAATCTTCATGATTACCGAAATCTTTCACTATTCTCTTAATATTGTTATCATTATCAAATAATTTCTTTTCTTTACCGTGATCTACTCTGACTTCTACTCAAAGTCACTGGTCCTAATTGACAAGAAAAAAAAAAGATTTTACCAATTTCTGTGAAAACGTCTGTCTGGAGACACGTCTACGGTTGCCTTATTTTTTCACAAGTATTGCATCGCCAGACGTTATAATTAATGTGGCAGCAACTTCGGGAGTTGGACTACAGTCAACTCACGTCCGCAAACCAGTGCCAACGTCAGTCGATATAGGCTCGAGACACCATACACCGATTGTTGGATTGTTCTTGACTGAAATCAAACTCCCGAATTCGCAACAGTTATTACCTGTCAATGGAGATGGCCACGAGAGTCCAGATGCTCGTGAAGACAAAGTAAGGCTGGACAAATCCCAGTACGGAACACAAGGCCCCGTTCAGGATGGAGGTGTCGGCATCGGCAGATAACTCTACTAATTTCAGCGGCATGACGAAAGATGTGACGAGAAAGTCGCTGAGCGCAAGGCTGACGATGTAGAAATTGGTTGGAGTTCGCATGGATCGGTGCCGGCAGACCACAGCGATGACCATGGAGTTACCAGTCAGGCCCACCACCATGACCATGACGCTAAGAATGATCAGGATGGCGTAGACACTGGTGAGTTGGGTCAGGTCGTAATATATCCCATCGAAGAACCAGGGACTATCTGCCTGGTTCGTGCCGTTGGCCACCTCGTCCGAGTAGTTGACCGAAGCCGCCGTGCCAGCTATCAAATCGTAATCATCGATGCCACTTCGATTGATCGAAGGCCAAGAGCCCACTGTCGATGTACTCAGCATCGCCGTCATGATTTTAGTTTTTGAAAAGGCCCAAGCTTAAAGAAAACTGACTCCCAAACTAATATCTACTGACATTAAAAGTCAACAGCTTCCCTTAGGAACTCGGATCTATAAAATTCCATGAACAAACTTTGAGCGTAGTCGTCACTAATTGAGCTCATGCATCTACTGCGCGACAAGTACTCCCGATGGTATCTGCCATAAAAGAGAAAAAAGAACGGGTTGAGTGACTTCAATGCATATTTGCATGCTGTCTTATTTCAATGCAGAGTGAGTGAATCGAATTACAAACACCAATGAAGACGACGGCGAGATCCCGTGGGTATTCGCGAGAATTACGGGATTCAGCGGGGACTGGTACACGTATTTGATGAATAGCTTGTGTCCGTGTGTGTATTCGAAAAAAAGGCAAATTTCAAAGTGGAAATAACCAGTGGGGAACAGGGGATACAAATGATATTTCATCTGGATTTGTACTGCTTACATTTTCAATGTCCAAGACAATTTACTGGTTGAGGAGTGGATGAAGTTATCATTGTCCTTATGAATTACAGGACGAGTACGGTCTCAGTGGCAGATCAACTCGAGTTATCGATAATCGAAAATTAGAATAAAAGTTTGCTTGATAGTATCCGTCACTGACAATCATTTTCACTGCTATTAGCAGATAGGCTTTTAAAGATTCAAGTGACCGGCATATCTATTGTCGTTATTGTGCGTTCGTATCACCACAGTGGACGCAGCCAATGCCAATAGCGTGCACAACTCTACTGATTGGTGTCGACAAAGGGTAGGCATGGTGGCGCTTTTTCCCCGCAAAAAATGGACGAGTTACAAAGGGAGGGGGTAAAAAAGAAAAAGAAGTGACAAAGAAAGGGAAAAAATGGGACCAAAGTTACCAACATGCTTGAAAACACCTCGGACCCCTTCCCTTTCCCAAGTTTCCCCAAGGATAAGCTTGTTCTTATGAGTAAGGTAATACGAATGTACAATGTCTTTGTCTTACGCTAAGTTAAAAATGTCCTGCTTACTCTTGTTGACTAACTCCAAAAGAAACAGGGCAGATTCCAGCACCCCTCCAGACATTTTGTTTTTGATATCGCAGCACTGCATTTTTTCCAAGAGAGGAGCCTTTAAAAGCTTTTAACAACTCTTTGCTTTGCTGTCATTTTGACACCGACAAACGTACAGTTCTCGCGTAGTTCTAGTTTTTCTATGACAGGTCAACCAAAAGTGTGTACTTATCCACTGCCGTACTCGATGCACGCGCATTGCGGATTGCATGCGGAGAGGAATAGGCCTTTTTGAGTTAAATTTGAATAAAATCTGGTACACTGATTTATCTGATTTCACATAAACATAACAATTTGAATTCCCCAGACTAAAGGTAGTATTGCTATACCTTGTGATTCATGGCAAGCTTTTGCATAGCGATGACCATCTCTGGAATGGACTTCCACTGTGTCTTTCCATTGAAAACAGCGTATTGGGTCAAGGTGTCTCTTAATATAACTGAGCAAAAGTTTACCCCGAACACGAAGAATAATATTTACGTGAATTTAAAGAACTCAGTGTACGAGATTTTATTCAATCTTAACCCGCAAAATGCCTATTACTTCTTTGTCGGAGGTAGTAAAGCTCTTGTTCACGCATAAATGAAGCTCATGCCGCACCGGCGCACGCCCGCCGCGCACACCGGCTTGTGTGAGTACGCAACTGCACCTGCTTACGACGCCCTTTAACAGTTAGTGTGTAGAGGGCGAAGAGTGACCACACCAGGCTAAAGTCTATGGCAATGGCCCTCAGAGTTTAAACACATTTTCTGATTAATTACATCGAATTGTGTTCAGGAATGTATTTAAAAGCTAAGTGGGTTTTACAAAATTAAAATATTCTACTATACGGAAAAGCATTTAGTATTTGAAAACCTTCCGAAAAATATTTTCAATTAAATATCTAAACATGTCGTGGGTTAAAAGTGTTAAAAAGTGGGTACAAGAAAGTGTTTGAAAACGTGTTTAAACTTTAAGTATTTTCACAGGGTACTTGATCTTGATATTTATTAATCATTGTTAATAACATTGATACAACCAAATAACCTCATTTTACGAATAAGGAGTCAGGTTAATTATTTTTTAACTTAATGGAGATCGATCAATGAAAACTGAAGTAGGACCACATGCTTCATGTAAGACTATGCAATGTGCTAACCTCAGTTTTTGCACTTTTGTGAGGTCGTGTCTTTATGTTGACATAGCCATGTACATGTACATACATTTATTCTTCTAATGGCTTCCTCCATTCATCATCGCGTACTACTAAGTAAACACAAGTGGCCGAATGCATTCACATAATGACACCGATTTGGAAGAATGTGGCTGGGAATAACAAGTGTATTTGTGACTAGTGCTTGAATTCGTCCGCCCTTAATTCAAAACGAAAAAAGGTTAACATCTGTATGGCGTAAAAACTTTGTCTTGTGGCAATTTCTGATATCATGAGCCTATAGGACAATCCCTCCAAATATGGGCTGTTTTTATTTTACAAGCATTGAAAAGAAATAATGGCAGAGTATACATGCATTATTGTTTCATCGCGCGGTCGATTTCGAAACATTTCAACCGTTAATGTACAGTGTTTACTCGGAAACAATATACTGCACTTAATTCGTTTTTTTTCTCTTGGAATATTGTTCTAGAGTAATTACTTGTTGATGCTGTCATCGCTGATTTATCACTTTGGCTGCTCAGCACACAGCGCTAGTAAGAGATAGACCTACACAATATGTTCTGTTGACAAAGAAAAGAATTGAAACTATTTGAAGGCTGCAGCGTCGGTGTACTCGGGGAACACGCGAACAGCTGTAACAATGTATTGATTAGAAGCGTGTATTTACAAGTTGGTGTGCAACTAAAAATCTACTCATACAGTTGAACCTATCATAGCGACATGCTGCTCATTGTAATATGGTGCAGCAAAAATGGCATTTGACCGCTGAACGGTAGAATATCTAATAATCTGATTAACACGCAGTTGTCATTTGACAAAAGTGTAAGGAATGTTAAACATAAGTGCATAGGCCGAATGTCTTCAGGATGTCGATCAGTAGCATTGGTAGTCATTAAAAATTGCTAGATTTCGCAAAGACACAACGCTGATCAAAAATTTTGGGCATATCGCAGGAAAATTTTCGTACATGAATAGAAGCTCAACCTTGTGTAATACCTGTTCCCATATACGCATCGCAAAACTATGCCCGCCGCGCTATAGGCAAATTGTCCTTTATTAATTGCCTATTAAAAATCTGGTACACGCTAATAACAGTATCATTTTTGTACTTAATCTATAATTCATGCACGCAACCGGTCTCAAGAGTCAGATTTATTTGAAGAGTGATGTTACAAAAGAGTAACACAAATAGTATTTCGACGATACTTTGCAAGTCGTTGAAGTTGACCTAATGCTGATTATAGCTGCTTATAATCTTTTTGGTACAATAGCCATTTGTTAATAGGTCGCTAGTGAAGATGGTACTCTTCCCTGCCTTCAGTGTGTGAATGGCCTCTCTCGTGTGTGTTTTTATAGACTGTATTCTTCTGTCGGCCATCATGAATTGAAAGTGAGATAGAACTTTTCAAGCGACAATATAAAAGTCCAGTAAAAAATCATGCCAATTTTTGTTGAGAATAATTTAAACTTTGTGACAAATTATACCCACGTTAAAAAACGAAAGTGAGGTTTGGAACCCCAAATAGTCTGGCAGTATCCCATTTAACAGATTAAATTGAATATGATAGTTTCGGGGGAACAAGATAAAAAAATCTCGTTCCTTGTGATTAAGGTCAATTACCCTGAAGACAGGGAAGTGTAAGAGACAGCTGATGATGTTTGGCTGATTTTTCTTTAAAGACAAATACCAACACTATTTACAAGGCCTTTAAAAGTCATACTGTCTTCGCTGTATTCGCAACAAATACACCTTGTGCGCACTTCTTGGCGGGCACACTGCGCAGAGTGCGCATCAGGCATTTACATCAATTTTAAGGTGTCAGGGCAGTAAATTTGCCCGAAATTGCTTCCGCCATTCTTAATCACGTTTTCCATTTCCTCAATTTCTCTCCAATCAAGGGATTTTGCGGCCCGCAATACTTGAGGGTTTCTAAATCGGAATGGGTCAACACCACACCAGACTGCGATCTTGCAACTCTAATCGGCCAATTTAAATGAAGCGAGTTCCTCATTATTGATCTATTTGCAGTGAGTTGGAGGGATCATTTTTCAAAATGACGACAGGAATCTGGACTACCTTTACTTGTGGTTATCTTTGCAGGGAGGTTTCACCAAAAGTGACCGGATTACCTCTTCCCTCCCGAAAATCTACAGAAATCTACAATTTGGATAGTCGCATTTTCCTGCCTTTGTTAATCACGTTGGAACAACGTCGTGTGCCCACTGAAAATGATCCTCAATACAAAGATCGGCCAATCCTCCACCAAATAGTCCCCCTTTCCCCTTATTGGTCAAAATAATGCAAATGTGGTTTCCATGGATTTAGGGCGTTTACATTCATATGTTTTTGGGGACAATCTAAGAATTAACTGAGGGTAAAACAAACATCAAATCTTCACTTCATTCACAATTTCCCAGGTAATTTAATCACTTTCTTTTTTCAAAGCGTCCTGTCGTATAGGGTGATAAAGGCAATCATTTCAATGTCTAAAACCGCAACCAACAATGCATCAAGTGGCATGAAATGATGAATTTTTGGGCCAAGTTCGGCCATAACAGTTTTATTCGTTTCGACACACCAGGTGTGCAGATTGATATTGCTGGATTAATGGTAATGCGTCACTGAGCCCGCAGTGCATGGTCTATTTTACAAAGATTTGACCTTGCGGATGCAGTCAGACCTATCCAAATAAACTTAAAAGCTGCCACGCGGTTAAAACCAAAAAAATTCTATATATAAATGTGCGAAAATTGTTTATTCCGAATTCTCAGCCAGAATACTTTATAGGTAGTGGACGATGACGTGACTCAGTGGAACTTGGGGTGCATGGTTGGATGGTGTTTATACCACCCTCTATTTTATTGTAACTGGACAGCTTGGACAAATCGAAAAGGTACACGTAATATGGCTTTAATCACTGCCGGCAGAACTTGTGACAGTCTTTTCTAAGAAGCAATTTCTTGAG